CATTTATATCCTCAAATATTACAATTTATCTTAAATGATAACTTATTCTTTTTTAAGTTAAAATTTTCTTTGATATTTGTAGACATAATATTTAATTACTTTTTTATTGAATTATATATTTATTATGTTTAAATAGAATTGAATTTACAAACATTCAAATGCTGAAAAAACAAGTACTCTGTATCATACCGAGTCCTATCTAAAGACAACATCTGAACATTCAGATGTTTATTAAGATTCATCCCTCTTAAATTTTGATAAAACAATGGCCCCTAAGACGCATATTTTTGAGAAATGCAATAAGCAGCATATTCAACTTCAAGTTCCACTTACCTCAGAGTCTTATCCCAGCTTCCTGTGACCAAGAGACTCATCTCTGGGATCCAAGCCAATTCCTTGACAGGAGCGTCATGCATGGCTACTGTTACCGGTTGACTACCAGATAGTGGCCACATTTTCACTTGCTTGTCACAACCTCCAGAGAAGACAGTTGTCCCATCATCCTTCCAAGTTGAGCATAAAACCTGCCAGTATATAGCTAATAAATACAAGTCATAAAGAAAAAAAGAGTAAATTTACCAGCAAAATGCCCATATATTACCGGCTGTTCATGTGATATAGAGGCCTTGGGTACAGCTCCAACATTGGTTCCACTTCCCATCACTTCCCAACATCGCACCTAGAAAACCTCACAGAATAAGATTTATTTCCAGTTCCACCTAGCAAACAAAATCATCTAGAAATAGAAAAGAGGCAGTTGTACCTTAATATTGTTTCGCCCCGTCTTCCCAGTCCTAAAATCTTTACTTACTGGCATATGTATATTACTAATAAAACCCAATACGTAGTGTAACTACCTCGTCCATCCCTCCATATCTAGACCCATTCAACAAATAAAAAGAGAACTTCTAAAAATAAACCTCTTTGTCTCTGTACTACAACCCTACGCCTTTTAGCCCATTACCTCATATTTTGATTGAAAAATCATTTAGAATATTATTCCACCTTAAGGAGGTATTTACATATTCAATTTGCCATGATTTCCTGTCACCCTTAATTATCAAAAGTAGAGTTATCTACCCAAGTAAGAGATTTATAAACTTTTCTAATATCATGTAAAACAACCTATTTGTACAGACTACAAACAGGGATTCATGATTGGAGAGCTCGAAAGCTTATCAAACATTCCTCATGCTCAAAAAGAAATATCAATCAACTACCAGTTCAACTATAGGAATCATTTATATACTTTCCTGTCTATTAAAGGCAAAAAATTAGGGTTATCTAAATTTCACAGTTGTCCCTACTCAAACAAAAAGTAAAAAGGACCCATGAAGATGGGGTAAATATCAACAGAAAGCAAACTAACCTGGTTATCCCATGAACTAGCAACCAGAAGATTAGCCTTGGGACTGAAGCAGAGACTTGACACAGAATCAGAAGGAGGTTGTTGAACCTTACAAATACATCACCCAAAATGTTATATACAAATTGCAAAAACAACACCCAAAACAAAACTGATTAACAGTATTGATTCGAATATACATAACTTAATTCAAACAAAAACTTGCAATACCCATGGATGAAACTTGGAAAAGCAGGTAAAACCTTGAAATAAATCAACGAAAGAATACCTCGACAGACTTATTGGGATTTGTGTTTACAGCAGCAGTGGCACCGGTACCGAATAGCGACATTGAAGCTGTTTATGCTCAAGCTACTACAACCAACAACAATACAAACCCAAAACTGTTTAAGCTTATATATTCAGCAAATTAGCGTTTACTTTAAGCCAACAAATGTGTTTGCCGACTCGTACAACTCCTGTTTTTTTGTTTTTTCTGTTTTTTTTGCTACTATACAATATATGAATTTTGACATTTATAAATTTGATAAAATTACTATTTAATTATTTTTATAATATTTAAAAACTAAAGAATTCTAAAATATAGAATTAAAAAAAACATGTTAAAAATTAAATATTTGATAAGAGTAAAAAATGTATGCTAAAAGGTAGTAGAATTAATAATTAACGAGTTCTAAAATATATAGTACAAGTAAAATATATTTAAAAATTAAACAATCCTAAAATATATAGTGAAAAATTTAAGAAATTTCTCTCATCAATATGTATGTATTTTTATTTATTTTTACATTTTTAAGTTATTTGCTTGTGGCTGTCGTGCTATTTATTTAAGTTAGAGTTCAAATTATGGGATTCATTTGTCACATAGAAAAATACTAGATACAGGACCGTGCCCAACATATATATTTTTATTTTTTTTAATTTATGTGATAAAAATATAATTTAAAGAGTCAATTAAATTTTAATATGATTTCTAAATATTTTCAGTTTTAAATTATTATGATTTGTAGTGCTTTTTATGTATTTTAAAATAATATTATCATTATTTTCTTTGCTCCATTTATGTGACACTCCTAAAATTCTGAGAGTCAACAAATTTTTTGTATGTTTTTAAAATTTTTAAGCTATTAATTATTGTGAGCTATATTAGTTTTTACATCACTTTTAAATAATATATATTACTTTCTTTATCCTAATTAACCAAATGTTTTTAATGTCTTTTAAATATTTTAAGCTGCTAATTATTGTGTTTCACTTTTTACGTCATGTTCAAATAATATATGTTACTTACTCTATTTTCTCAATTTGTGTGATACTAATGGAATTTTGAGAAACAATCGGACTCTTTATATATCTGCTAAATACTTTAAACTGTTAATTATTGTAATTTATAATACTTTTTGTGTAACAAATAATATATATCGCTTTTTTTCTCAATTTATACGACACATATAGAATTTCAAAACTCAACAATTTTGTATATATATTTTAAATTATTAATTGTTGTGATTTATAAAAAAATTTACGTCATTTTCAAACCATACAAATCTGGACATGGTATATGAATTGCAAATACATAAGAAAAAGGAAATTGGTGTGCTAAAGTATAAAACCAACTTTAAAATCGGACCCACAAATTAAGGAAAACGAAAAAGGGTCAAAATTACCCTTAAACTATCTGAAATAGCTTAAATATACCTTTAAACTATATTTCAGCTCAAAAATACCCTTTCCGTCAAACTATTGGGACACACCTACCCTTCTAGTTAACGGAAGTATCCATGTGTGTGTTAAATGCCACATGGATGCCACGTGTGCATGTCAAACAGACCCCACCTCCACATAGGCGACTACAGAAAATGGTCAAATCTACCCTTAAACTATTCGAAATAGCTTAAATATACCCTTAAACTATATTTCGGCTCAAAAATGCCCTTTCCATCGAACTATTGGACCACACTTGCCCTTCTGTTTAACAAAAGCATCCATGTGTGTGCTAAAAATGCCACATGGACTCCACATGTGCACGTCAAACACACCCCACCTCCACATAGACGACTTAAAGCCCTAATTTCACTATTTTCTCCTCATTTCATCTTTTCCTTATTTGGGTATATCTATATGAATATACAATAGACATTGACTCAATTCAGTTCAATTTTATTCTGATACTAATATGTTGTACTTTGAAGATCACAACTTAAACAAAATTCAAATTAATTCTGCTATCTAATCCTTAAATCATCTATTATATTGAATGTTTCTTTAACTTTCCATAAAATCTAAAACTTCTTTAACAATCATTTAGAGCATCTTCTGATTAGGGACCACAAAAGTTCAAAACTTGAACAAAAATAAGGTAATTGGTAAAAAAAAAAAAATTAAAAATCTATAAAGACTTACTAGGTCTTCGTTGATGTAGTAGCAATCTAAGGTGTCATCCCAGCCGTTCGTCAAGTTTTCTTCATTAGCGAAATCGCCGACGTTGATGTGGCGGATCTTGGTCACCACCGCTAGGGAAGCCGTCGTAGTCGTCTTCCCTGTGTCTGAAGTTCTGGTGATAAGTATATTAGGTCTCTTACGGCAGCTGCTATTTTGCGTCATGGCCGTGAGTTGAATCAACAAGAAAACTTCGCTAAGATTTGTTTAAACAAAATTAATTTATTAAGAGAAATTGAAATAATAAATTAGTGTTAATTGATTAATTAAAATGAGTGTGTTTATATTATACCTTAGATCGTTTCTTTTATTGTATTTAAAATGGTCATCAAATTGCTTTTTTTTCTACTCATTCAATTACGTATACAAGTTTCCGCAAATGTTTTTTCCTATTTTTGGTTTTATATATACTTTTCAGGATGAAATGAGGGGGAAAGAGTGAAATTAATGCTTTGAGTCATCTATGTGGAGTGTTTGGCATGCACATGTGGAGTTCATATGACATTTTAGCACACACATGGATGCTCCATTAAACAGAAAGACAAGTGTGGTCTAATAGTTAGACGGGAAGGGCATTTTTGAGCCGAAATATAGTTTAAGGGTATATTTAAGCTATTTCGAATAGTTTAAGGATAATTTTGATCTTTTTCCGTAGTCGTCTATGTGGAGGTGGGGTCTGTTTGGCGTGCATATATGGCATCCATGTGGTGTCCATGTGACATTTAACACACACATGGATACTTCTGTTAACTAGAAGGGTAGGTGTGGCCCAATAGTTTGACGGAAAGGGTATTTTTGAGCCGAAATATAGTTTAAGGGTATATTTGAGCTATTTCGAATAATTTAAGGGTAGTTTTGATCCTTTTCCGTAAAGAAAATGCAAGTGGACCCCATGCTTAGACAAATTGTTTACGTGGTATATATTGAAAATAGTATGGGTTTTTGGTCCAAAACGGAGAAGGTACATACACAGAAAAATGAAGTACAATAGAACTATAGCATAGAACTTATAAAGTACCAAAAATAGCCTCTATTTCTAAGCTGACAGCACAACGGAAAGCTGCTTTGAGGCCTCTTCTATTATTACTAGATAAGGGTGCCCGTGCAAGGCACGCGAATATTGTGGAAATAAAAGCAGTCGTAAGAAAAGTCGTGCACACATGATTAAAATGAATATCAACGTGACACATTTACATGTATTTTACGGAATATTATACATGGAGCTTTCTAGGAAAGGCCAAAACAGACATGGTAGGTAATTACATATATGTTGCCTTGGCGTGAAAGTTGAATCTCGGAGGTTGTGAATTCTGGAATCCCTCAACACAAGTCTCAACAAAAGTAGGTTTTTTCAGGTTGAAACTTTTTTATTACCTGAAAATAAATTAAAAGAGTGAACTTACACGGTTCAACGGATAGCAAAGAGAAGTGGGAATACATCTAAAACCTTAAATTGCACAGAAAATAACACACCACTTTAGAGATGAGCTATTTAAATTTGGAAGAATCCAATTGACAAAAGCATGGAAGAAATGATTTGCCCGTTATTCTGATGTTTTCATTCACCTATATATTTTGAACACAAAGGAATAGTCAGTTGGATGTTCTTTAGAAGGAGTAAAGGTGATTATTAACTTCAACCACATTAGCAAGCTAACAAGAACAAATAAAGTACTACTAAACATAACTATTTGCAGAAATAGAAGTATGTGTAAAAAAATAAAAAAATAAAGGAATAAATTAACACAAATCAACAAATAGCAAAGAGAAGTGGGATGAAAAGGCTAGTTCATCTAAAACCATACAAAGTTATGGAGAAGGAAGAGGTGTGCTTCTTACTGAATTTGTCTGATTCGACATCGGAATGCATCTTTGTCGGCTTCCACCAACTTGTCTTTGCAGTATGCCTCCAGGTGCAATTCTTTGAGAGAGATGTTGAGGGGATTATTTGTGGGAGAAACAGCAGAAGAATCTAGTCAATTTGTAAACATTAGTGTAGCAATTTATTGAGGTATTCCTTAGCAATCATGCAGAGTGAAGTCACCAAATACTTATCCAAAATAGAAAATGAGATATCTCAAAACTAACACAAGTCCCCCAGCACTATAATGCTGTAAATGTTGGAAATTGAGACAAAAAAGGCATGAAATGTGGAGAGATAACTCAAAAATTTGAGAGACATTTTCTATATTAGAGTATGTCTCCCTAATGGCTTCCCACACATTCTTAGCAGTATACACAAAACATCGACAAATGAATTGAAAACAAATACTATTTGAATAAATTGAACCACACATGTTATACTTCAGCCAACACTGTAAGGTATACTATTCATTACATGTTTCTAACGGTGATTTATTGTATGAAAGGAAGTATCCTTACATGAATGAAATTAGGAAATTAGATGGATAATAAAAATACAAAATATTCTTAAAGCAGTCATATGGATAGAAATGATAGACCAACTATAAAGTATAAAGCTGCCAGTAGAATGAAAGGAACAATGTATTTTATTGATTGTAACTAAGTATATATAGATTCTGTACAACTTCTACAGCAAAGAGATAAACTAAGAAAAAGGTAAGACTTATCTATAACCTATATACAAGGAGGAAGTTACAACAAAGTCCTAAAGAGAAGACACTACTAAATCTGATCCGTTATTACACCCCCGCAAGTTGGTGGTGTCAACAACACTCAACTTGGAAAATTGCTGAACAAAAGAAGCTTTGGGAAGAGGTTTTGTGAGTATGTTAGCCACTTGATCAGCTGAGTGAAGGTGGTGAACTTCAATATCCTTGTTCTGAACTTGTTCACGAACAAAGTGAAAATCAATGGCGACATGCTTCATCCTACTATGAAAGACCGGATTGGAACAAATGTAAGTGGTGCTGATGTTGTCACAGAAAAACCTGTGGAACTCCCTTAAGTGAAAGCCGAAGTTCATGAAGTAGATTTGTGATCCAGTTGGTTTCTGCAACAGCAAAATATGGAGCTTTGGCAATCTGTATGCCATATTGGCAGGTATGATGAAGATAACGGAGTAATCGCTTGACTGCTTTCCAATGAGAGTGGCGTGGATTGTGCATAAATTGAGAGAGTTTGCTAACTGTGAAGGCAATATCAGGACGTGTAAAGGATAAGTAGTGCAACTTTCCAATTACCCGCCTATAAAGAGTACCATCAGCTGGAGGATCATTCACTGAAGCTGTCAAAATGGTAGTTGAGGTCATAGGTGTAGGAGCTCCTTTACTGTCTAGCATGCCAACATCCTCTAAAATATCCATAATATACTTGTGCTGGGACAAAAAAAAGACCAGCAGTAGAAGAGATAACCTCAACACCCAAAAAATAATGGAGCTGTCCAAGGTCTTTCAAGGAGAAACGAGTGGAAAGACCATCGATTATATGACGAACCCCACGAATCTGATTTCCAGTGATGATTATATCATCCACATAGATAAGAACATAAACAGTGAATCCAAAATTATGCAAAATAAATAAAGAAGAATCAGATTGGGACTTGACAAACCCAACAGTTAGCAAATAACTTTTGAGCTCATTGTACCAAGCTCGGGGGGCTTGTTTCAAGCCATAGATTGCTTTATTCAACTTACAGACATGTGTGGAGAGACTTTGATCTTCAAATCCCGGTGGTTGTCTCATATAAACTTCTTCCTCAAGACTTCCTTGTAAGAATGCATTATTGACATCAATATGATGGATTGGCCAGTTGTATTGCGTCGCAATGGTAAGCACTAACCAAATAGTAACTGGTTTGACTACCGGGCTGAATGTAGAATGGAAGTCTAAGCCTGGACGCTGGGTAAATCCCTTTGCAACAAGACGAGTTTTATACCTGTCAATGGAACCATCAAATTTATGTTTTATAAGAAACAACCACTTGCACTCAACCACATTCATCGAAGGAGTAACTGGAACCAAATTCCATGTCTGATTCCTAACAAGTGCATCAAATTCAGCATGCAACGCTTCTCTCCAGTGAGGGTGAGGACATGCTTGTTTGTATGTATGAGGAACAAAGGATGAGGAGAGTTGAACACTGACACTAAACTGCTTGGGTTTGAGGCTATTTTTTGGAGCATGTGACCATGGGATGACTTGAAGTTGTCACCACGGGTGAAGGATCAGATGGAGCCAAAGCAAGTGTAGGTTGGGAAGAGTTATTGGCAGATGACTGAGAAGGTAGGTTGGTGGGAGGTATAGGGGAAGGGAGTGGTAACACTGAGGCACTTAGTTGTTGGTGATTTTTATGTTGGTAGGTGATTAATGGTCTGGGTGACGGCGGGGGCTGAGTATAATCTGGTGGTGGTGTGATGGTGTGTGGCAATGAAGGAGAGGATAAAGTCTGAGAATTACCTGATGCAATGGAGACACCTTCTGATCTGGCAGGCATTGAGTTGGGCAGTAGAGAGTACACGGGCGAAGCATCTGAGAGGGTATGACAAGAATCGAAACTTGATGGTTTATTAGTCACAGGTAGAACATCAGAACAAATCTCCCAAGAATCAGTGCTCTGTTGGTTTTTTAGATTCGAAAAAATATTATGAAAAGGATAGGTGTCTTCCAAAAATTGAACATCCCTAGATAAGTACAATTTATTTTTGACGGGATCAAAACATTGGTGTCAGTAATGTTTATTAGAAAATCCTAAATATACACAAGGAGTTGATTTTGGCTCTAACTTATTTTTGGCATATGGTTTAAGCCATGGGTAACATAAACAACCAAAAACTCTAAGTGATTCATACTTTGGAGCCTCGTGAAATAAAATTTCATAAGGGCATTTATTTTGTAAATTTGGAGTGGTTAGACGGTTGTAGAATGTGAAACCGGAAGAGAAAACTGATGTAAAATCGTGTTTAAAGTGCGATGATTAGGATGGCCTAAACGCCGATGTCACAGATGTAGAGGAACGACAACATTGCATTGAGGGTATGATGTGCACTGCCCGACGGCCACTCATATAGCCCATCTCGATTCTGCCCGCGAAACAGAGGCGCCCCCGTACTCAGATCCTTCACACAATAAGAAAAAAGAAAGAATTCAATGGACGTATGGTTATCGCGGCAAAATTTTGAAACAAAAAGAAGATTATTTTTTATGGAATGAGAACATAAAGTATTGAGAAGCTTAAATTGTTGATTCGATGCACTTGAGTTTTAGTTACCGGTATGAGAAATTGGAATGGTGTTACCGTCCCCCATTGCTATCTCCTCTGGACCATGGTAGGTGTGCACATCAGTGAAGTTTTGCGCATTAGAGGCCATATGATGAGTGGCACCTGTATCAACAATCCAAGGAGCCTGTTGAGTTGGAGATCGAGCAGCATAGTTTGCCCGGGCTTGTATGTGATCGTGTGATTGTGATTTGCAAACCTTAGCTGAATGACCAGGACGGTCACACAACTGGCACTTTAGAGTGTGGTCATAACGCTGCTGTTGGTTATTGTTGCCAGCACGCCGTGACTGGGCACGCCTTGACTGGTTGGTGTTGGGGGAATTTGCATTTGAACGCCTATTAGAGGTGTTTCCTTGGCGAGGATGCATGTTTGTTTGCTGTGCAATAGCAGCAGTAATGTTTGTTGAGAGTGGCTTCTTTGCTTCTTCATGCTTGATGAAAAGCTCATGGTCAAGTAACTTCTCATAAAGTTCAGGATAAGAGATAGCAGAATCTCTTGCACGGATAGCAGCTGATATTTCACGGAATTCAGGTCCAAGTCCAGTGAGGATTTTGACAATCAGTTCCTCATTGGACACTGGAGCTCCAGCAGTGGCAAGTTCATCACAGAGAGATCGAACCTGGTGCAGATAATCAGCGACAGGAAGTGTTTCTTTTGCGAGGCGAGCCAGACGATCGCGCAAACTAAATATCCTTGTTTGCGATTTGTTGGCATACGCAGTGTGCAAAGCATCCCAAGCAGCCTGGGAAGTGGATGCAGCGACAACCGTAGCAGCAAGATTTGGGTCAACTGAGGCCAAGATGGCGTTTTGAATTAGTTGATCTTGGCGATACCATGAAACAAATGCAGGATTTTCGATGTCCTGATTATTTTGAGCCACTGTACGAGCAGGGGCTGGGCGAGAACCGTCGAGATGGCCAAAAAGGTTGTGACCACGCATAAGCATGGACACTTGTGCTTTCCAAAGGGAAAAATTGTGGCTGCCAGTTAATTTGATTGGTAACTGGGTGACAGGATTAAACTGAACAATTGTTGTATTGGCATCGGAGTTGGTTACAGTGATGTTTGGGGCCATTTTTATGGGAAGGGTGGGAGGGTTTCTCGACAGAAATTTACTCGTGAGAGTTAATTGGCTCTTGATACCATATAAAGTATAAAGCTGCCAGTAGAATGAAAGGAACAATGTATTTTATTGATTGTAACTAAGTATATATAGATTTTGTACAACTTCTACAGGAAAGAGATAAACTAAGAAAAAGGTAAGACTTATCTATAACCTATATACAAGGAGGAAGTTACAACAGAGTCCTAAAGAGAAGACACTACTAAATCTGATATGTTATTACCAACCAGAGGAAATAAGAGGTCCAAGAGTACAAGCAGTCCCCTAAAGTTTACTTTCCTAGAAGATAGAGTTTCTATATTAAGGGGAGATAACGATGATCATAGTGAACAATGTAACCAAATGGTGAGGATTACGAAGCTTACAGTGCATAAACTATGGCAGGAGCTTACAGTGCATAATTTTGTATTGAACTGCTCCAACTGAAGAATGCAAACAAGAATGATATTCTAGTTTTATATGAGATATGTGTCCTCCAGAAATAATAGTTTTCACCGTGCTTAATTGTATAGAAAGGTTGTAAGTATCTCAATTATGGGCAAAGACATACAACTTCTGGATTAAATTTCGGTGTTGGCATCCTCAAAACATTCTTTC